TAGACTACGAACAGTATAGCATTTGAAAGAGAAAAGGCTGGAATGAGGAACAACGTGCAAAAATGTTGACAGTGAAATGGGCTTTTCAGTCCGAATAAGTAGAAACAGATAAACCTGTTGCTCAGAGCACATGGGTGCCATTCACAGTTGGAAGGGAGAAAGTAACATTTTTGGAGGCACTGACTTAGATGTTTAAAACACTTTACCTCATTTAGTCCTTATATTCACATTGAGGTAGATATTGTCTTAGTCAAGGCTTTTTTGGTTGCAAGAAATAGAAACCTATCTCTAATAGCTTCGAGGGAAAAAGGAGTTTATTATAAGGATGCAAATTTATCTCACAAAACCCGAGAGGAAGAATGCAGGTAGGCCTCCAAAGCTGACAGAAACCAGGACAGTCATTATCTTTCAGGCTTTTTCTCTGCAGACATGGTGTTTTCTCTCTGTCTCCCTCTGTCCTGTGACTTCAACTTATTCTCTCTACCTGCCAACTTTCTCTGTTTCTTCAGGTACATGGCAGAAGACAATTGCTCCATAGCTTAAGGTCTGCTTGTTCCAGGCCAGAAATGATTATACTTACTGCATACCAATTCCAAATTCCCAGGAAAGAGGACTTAATTGATCCAGCTTGGCGGCACTAATTGTGATGGGGTTGGGGTGGGGTGGGGTGGTGTCCCATGGTACGTGCTATATTGGTTGCCAGGGTTCACCACTGTGGGAGAAGAGGGTTCTTGGAGAATGGGCTGTGTGCCATAGCAGACACTCTAAAATCTCTGCTACAGCTAATGGGACTGTGGAATATCTGCCAAATGAATGAATGATTGCATAACATGAGACTCACTTTTCTCCAATTTTAAGGCCCATGCACTTTCTACTACATCATACAGCCTTCAAATGTTTGCAGTTGAGATAACTGTCTTCATTACCTAAGTAAATGAGAATGGTCTTGTATAAGGGTATCACCAGGAAGCAGATTGTATACTCAAATTATAATAGTGTGAGGAGTTTAATAAAGGATTATTTACAAAGGTGTGGGCAGGGTGTAAGGAAGTCACAAGGTGCGTGGGCAGTACCCAGAATCTAGTAGTGGAAATGGTGGTTCAAACTTTAAAATAGAGAACTAGGTAGAAGGGGGCATGCGACAGGAATGAGATCTTAGCAAGGGGACTCAAGTGAGTGCACAGCGGTCAAAGGGAAACAGAGGATTAAATACCCTCACCACAGAGTCTTAATTCTCTCTGACTTTCTGCCTATGCTACTAATTGGCTGAACTCAATAGAAACCCCGAGGTAAGGCAATCTGTTGATGTGGTCCACGCCGGTTAGCCTGGAAGCCCATAGCTGGGTGAAGAATTAAACTTTTAAGAGGTGAACAGATACCTAGGTCTTTAGACAGAAAAATAAAAACGAACACGTGTAATCAAAGTAGGGTGTTCTTTAAGGGTGTTCTTAGAATCTCTAGATATATTTAATTTTCATGTCCTGGGTCAACCATACATATTAAACTGAATATTTCACCTGAAGTCACTAATTATGGTGCTTCAGGGGCTTCCTTGGGAATTTAAGGCCCTGGAAACGCCCTCTCCACTCCTATCAAAATAGCTTTGCCTTTATTTGGTGACTCCATTTGGATTCTGCTTAGGATTTCCTTGAGGAAACAGCACTACAGCACCACCTATAGTCAGGTACTGTGCTAAGGACTCAAAAATGAACCACAGACTAGTGGGGAAGGCAGAAAAGTAAGTAACAGTACAGTGTTAGGAAAACGCACAGGTTATGAAGAAAACTTAAAGAACGTCCAGTGAACCCAGAAGGGCAAGGGATCAAGGAAGGTTTCTTGGAGTCGGTTACTGAGAAGGGAGGCACAGAAGCTCAGAGAAGCCTGCCGTTGTCCAAAGGAGGGAAGAGGAGGCCAACAATTATGCAATCCGCTGAAAGCGGGGGGAGGGAGCATCACCTGGAAGGAACTAGGCGACAGATCCCTGAACGAGGCTGGGAGCTAGGGTGACTCTAAGTGATAGGCAACGATCTCTGCTCAGGCCTGCCTCCAGCCTTGCTCCGCTCCCACTCCATCCCATTCTCTGCCAAAGGGGCGCGGCATTTCAACAACTGCACTCGGCTGGGAGGGTATCCCAAGCTCGAGGAGCACATCACCAGTGGGGGCGGGAGGCTGCGGAGTCTCCCAGAATAGCTCGTGTCTCCCAGAGTGGTTGGGTTAGAGCGCTCCGACCGGGGAGGGGCGGCCTAGGAGAAGGCGCTCATTGGTTGCCATAGCGGCGATCCCAGAGGTTGGGGAAGGCTGATTGGCCTCAGGTTCTTAGCACGGACCCCTCCCACCTCCTCTGCGGCTGTAATTAGGTCAGGG